GCTTCCAGCACAGATCTGTGGCTTTCTGTAGGAAGCTCCCCACTTTCACCACAAAGTCACCTTGCTACAGAGGAAGGCATTCAGGCTTAAGCAGGACTTGCCATAGGCAGTGGAGGAAGTGGAGAGCTGGGATTTGAACTCTAATCTGTTGTGGTTCTGGAGAGTCCTGTCAATCAAAACTCATTTAGGCACTCAGTGGCTCCCATCACTTCTGACTTTCTAATCCTGGCCAAGTTTCTTTCCATGTTTGAATTTGACTCCTCATTTGTAAATCAAGGAAAGTGGAAGTGGACCTCTGCAGGGTTCTTGTGAGACACAAATGAGATGATACATACAGCCAGGGGCCCAACTGGTGTTCTCCACTAGTGTGAATGGGTGTCTGATGAGCCTTGCCACACCCCCCAAATCCTTGACATCATAAATATCAATGTCTTGGAAGGAAAGAGTAAGGGTCAACATGCTCACCATGCCAAGCAGGGCCTGTTCTTACTCGGTGTTAGCAAGCTTCTGAGCTCCCAGGGGCAGTTCTGTACCCCTTCACCATCAGTGGCTTAGTGCTTAGATCTAGTGCAAGACACCGTCCAGCCTTCAGAATGTCAGCTTTCATAAACCTGCCCTTACAGCTCCCAAAGAGCCCTTGGTGGGGGGTTGGGGAGGGATGTAGCTCAATTGTTTACCTAGCATGATCCCCAGAATCACTTAAATTGTGTGTGGTGATACATGCTTATAATTCCAGTAGTCAGGAAGTTGAGGCAGGAAGATCAGAAGTTTAAGGTCATCCTTGGCTACATAGCAAATTTGAGTCCAGCCTAGGCTACATGAGACCCTGTCTTAAAGTACAACTACAACAAGCTGGGTGTGGTGGTACATGCCTTTGATCCCAAAACCTGGGAGGCAGAGCCAGCTTGGTCTGCATAGGCCAGCTGGGGCTACAGGGACCCTGTCTCAAAACAAAACAAAACAAAATAAACCCAGCCTTTGGTAGGGAGGGAACTAGTGGAATGGGATAGCTAAGGATGTTGTCTCACATCTATTACCATACTGGCTACTCGAACTAACAGTAGGCAAGGCTAATGGACTCCTCCCATCTTACAGACAGGAAAACTGAGGCTCAGCAAAGTGAAGTGGCATGTTTAAGGTTACCGAACCTAGGATGAAGCTCTCCAACACCCAGAAACAGGCTTTTAAAATTAGCCCTTCGCCAGGCGTGGTGGCGCATGCCTTTAATCCCAGCACTTGGGAGGCAGAGGCAGGCGGATCTTTGTGAGTTCGAGGCCAGCCTGGTCTACATAGTGAGTTCCAGGACAGCTGGGGCTACAAGGAGACCCTGTCTCAAAAAAGAAAAAAAAAAAAAGAAAAAAAAAATAAATTAGCCCTTCATGATTTCCCCATATCCTGAAATCTTTCAGGAAACAGGCAAGTATGTAGTCACAAATCAACAAACAGATAAGGTACTGCTAATTATTACTGACTGTGGAATGCTTTGGGGGAGTTTCAGCTGAGTCTGATCTGCTGATTGATGGCCCCATCCCCCACACCACCAAGCTGACTAATTGCAGGAAGTCACATCATTTAGAGGCTGGGTTGAGGGCAGGGGTAATGGCATTCCCCTTGGAGCCTGGTGCTCAGGGAATGAGTCATGCTACTGACAACAATGACTGCTCTGTAATCACCTCCAGCAGCTGCTGCCCAGCACTACACAGGCCCCATGGAAACCTCTCCAGGTATAATGAGGCTGAACAGGGAGCAAATGAATGGGATTCATAGGGTCTCATCAGGACAGCCTGCTCAAAATTTGTCTCTGATTAGAGGGCCAGGTAGGCTGGACTCAATGGTGAGATGATTCTCATGAGCGCCACGCTCCCCAAAGTTCAAGGAAGTCATTTGAATCCTAGGCAGGAGGCAGTGAGCTCAAGGACAAAAAAACAGCTGCTCCTGTCCCAAATTCTCCCAGAACTCCAATTTTCTGTTCTGAGGAGCAGTGATTAGTCAGGCAACAAAGGAGACCAAAGAGGGGGAGTCTCAGCAGATCCACGATGATGTACACCATAGACCATGACAAGTATACACATAAGTACGCCCATGTATCCATGAAGTCTGCATAGTAAACCACCTCAGAAATCAGTGGGTTCAGGGCTGTAGCTCAGTTTGTAGTGTGCTTGTCTAGCATGCATGAAGCCCTGACTTCAGCTCCCAGCATTGCATATCACTAGATGCAGTGATGCATGTCTGTAATTCCAGCACTCAGGAGGTAGAAGCAGGAGAATCAGGACTTCAAGATCATCCTCAGCTATATAATGAATGCAAGTCAACCTGGGCTACATGAAGCCCTGTTTCCTCCACCCCTATCTAGTGATAAAGTAAATAAAATAAAATCATTGGGTTCATTTCCCTCTATGCAGTCACCATTTATCTATGAATGAATGGGGACCTGAGAGGAGACACTTGCCCAAAGACACAGAACTTCCTTAGTAGCCAAGCTAAGGCAGGATGCCTCATGAGCAGCCCCCGCCATCAGCTTCTCCAGCTGAGAATTTGGTGATGGGAGATCTTTAATCCCAACTTTTCACTCCTGCCCAACACCAAACCTAGAGCGTTTCCATTCTTTGGTGAAAGTTTCAGACCCAAATTCACACCAACAGAGGTAAGAGAAGAACCATCTAGGAGGGATAGGCTTCTTTCCCTTTAAAGATGCAGAGTCCACTTCCACCCAGCTTTATCTGTTTTGGGGAGAAGCACAAGGGAGCTGTTATGTCCTGAGCCCCCTGCTTTGCAAACCAGAAGCAATCTGCATTCAAAAGACAGCATGCTACCAGGCAAGCCCTTGCTCCATTATGGTGACAAGGGCTTGGAGATCAGTGGATTTCCACCATGGCAGCCAGCAGGACATACGCAGGCCAAGTTCCCCAGTGCCTCCAAGGCCAATGATTCTACCTTGCAGTTCATGTTGAAAATCTTGCTATTGGGGGATGTAGCTCATTTGGTAGAGTGCTTGCCTACCATGAACAAGGACTTGGCTTTGATCCTGAGCACTGCATAAACCAAGTATGTTGCTCTACACCTGTAATCCCAGCATTTGTGAAGTAAAGGCAGAAGGATCAGAAGTTCAGGTTTATCCCTACTACATAGCAGGCCAGGAAACTGGGATACATATCACCTTATTTTTTTATTATTATTATTTTTTATTTTTATTTTTTTGGTCTTTTGAGACAGGGTCTCCCTGTATCCCCAGCTGACCTGGAACTCACTATGTAGTCCATGCTGGCCTTGAACTCACAGAAATCCTCCTGCTTCTGCCTCCCAAGTGCTGGAATTAAAGGTGTGTGCCACCACGCCTGGCCAGACCCTATTTAAAAAAAAAAAAAAAAAAAGAAGCAGGAAGAGGAGAAGGACAAGGAGGAGGAGAAGAAGAAGGAAGAGGAGGAGGAAGATGAGAAGGATGAGGAGGAAGAGGAAAAGAAAACCCTGCTGCTATTCATCTGCTTCCTGTGCAGTAAGGATCACTGACCAGCAGCATCTACATCCCTGGGAGCTCATCAGATGCACAAAGACTCAGCCCCACCCCAGACCTGCTGGATCTGAACCTGTAATTTACCAAGACTTCCAGCTACAGTAGCTTCATGCACCCCTTCTCTACACCTAAAAGCAACCCCGTATGGTGAGTGTTGGACCTAAGAGAGGAAACAGGACCTAAGAGAGGTTCCATCATAGGTCCAAAGTCACATGGCTAGTGTGTAGGACAGCCAGGATATAATCTAGTCACAGGCTTTCGCTCTACAAACACTTCTCATAGCACAATAGAACATGAGAGCCCTGGAGATGCCTGAATGTGGGGTCCTCAGACCCACTGAGTGTGTTCTGGCTTTGGGCAAGATTCCATCTCCAGTATGGAGGCCTCCCCCACCCCCCAATCAAATCTCATAAAGACCAGCATGATTGATGAGGAAATACAAATAGTAAACAACCACTCGGGGGTTGGGGGGGGTGTTCCTCTCCCTAGTAATCAGAGATGCAAATGAAAACATTTAGGAGACATTCTCTACCTATATAATTAGCAAGGCTGGAAAAAAAGAAGAAAGCAAAAATTGTTCTGAACTAGGTACATGCATATACAACCAGTGACAGAGTAGATTTATATAACCCTTGAGGAAAGGGATATGACAGCATCCATCAAGAGCTGTGAATAGATTGTGCCCACTGACCTGGGAATTCACCCAGAAGAAATAATTCAATGGGGCCTTGGGACAGGGAGCTGTGTGACAAAGACATGCAATTGCAAAGTTGGCTGTGTACATGGGAAGCAGCCTAATATTCAGCAAGAAGGGAATGGCTGGGGAAATCGGGCATCTTTTGGTTCGTCCTCTGTTATGCAGCCATTTGAAATGAGCATTAAGTGGCCCAAGCAGCAACACAGGAACTTGAGTAAAAGACAGTGGACTAGGGCTGGAGCTGAACTCAGTGGTAGAGCCCTTGCCTCAAAGCAGGAGGCTGTAGGTTCGATTCCTAGTATTGCTCCACTTCAAATAGAACTAACTTTGCCAGGTGTGGTGGTATAAGCCTTTAACCCCAGCACATGGGAGGAAAAGGCAGGTGGATCTCATAATGAGTTCCAGGTCAGCCAGGGATACATAGTGAGACTCAACAATAACAAAAAGCAGAACGCAGAACTGCTCATGTAAGCTGGAGTTATGATGCTATGAAAATGTCATATGCATCTGGAGGATGGGGTAGAGCTGAGCTGCAAGAAAGATGGCCAGTGTCTCAGACTAGGGGGCAGGAGCAACGGAGGCATTGACACCTTCTCCCGTTACTTTTACAGCTGTAAGTTCCCTCAGAGAACAGTTTCAGAGGTTCTCAGGTCACACACTATGTCTGAGGGTAACACAAAGACAGTCTATCCTTCATTTCTGGGTATGGGGTCATACTTCAGTTTGCTAAGAAGTATGGGGGGCTGGCCCAATGGGGACCAGAGAAGCCATGAGAGGTTCTTACCAACTTACCATGAAGCCTGGAGCACAAGTGCAGCCACCGGTGATGCTGTGGCAGTCAGCACCATTCTGGCAGGTGCAGGGCAGCTGGCAGCTGTCACCATAGTATCCGGCAGGGCAGGACTCATTGCAGTAGTGGCCAGACCAGCCTGGTTGGCAGGTACAGGCTCCAGTGACGGGATGGCAGCTGAGCCAAGGAGAGAAGTGATCAGAGTTTAGTGCAGTCAGGGTTGTGGTCCTTGTCTTTCCCTCTGCCTTCCCCACGTCTGGTCTGCCCAGGGTAGTGAGACCAAAGGACCTCCATGGATAAGTTAAGTCTGTGCCTTGTTTGTTTATGAGATTATGCCAGGATCTCGCATGGCATCATTAGTCTCCAGAAATGGAGACTCATAGTGGTTTGTAACTTTCCTAAAGATACACAGTAGGGAGGTAGTGAGATCAGGATTAGAACCCAGGCCTTCTGACTCCAAAACAGGGACTTTTGTTGTTGTTTTGTTTTGTATTTTTGAGTCAGGATCTCAGGTAACCTAGGCCAGCTTTGAACTCTATGTAGTTGAGGATGACCTTGAACCTCCAATCCTTCAGTCTCCACCTCTCAAGTGCTGGGATTACAGGTGTATGCCACCATGCTGGGCTTATGTAGTGCTGGGGAACAGGGCTTTGTGCATGCTAGGGAAATACTTCTGCCAACTGAGCTATAGCCCCTCCCCCACAAGCATGCACTCTTTATAAAACTAACTCAGAGACCAAAGCAGAGGGCTGTATCTTTGCTCCCTTGCATTATAGACTATGGGGTCCATAGCTTCACCTACCTCTCACCCAAGGCTGATACCTAAGGTGGGGACAAGTGTGACAAGGTAGCCATGACAACAGGAATTCTTCCTACTGCAGGCTCTCAGTCAACATTGGTAGAGTTAAAACAAGACTCAGGGCAGAGGTTGTCTCCCTTTTGGCAATGTCTGCACCTAAGAGAACTTCTACCTGGGCTTTCTTATGGGCTTTAATCATAGATTTCTAAAAATCTATCCTTTCCATTTCTATTTGTCAAGGCCATGGAAAGGACCATTGACAGGAGGCAGGGGCTGCCTGGTATAACCCTGGAGAGGGAGCAACCTCTGGCTGACAATAGTTTGGTCCAGCAGCCAATATCCAATCCAGATCAGGAGACACAAAATGTGGTGACTGTGTGCCACTTAGAGCACCTGGTTCCTGTGGGGATAACTGGCTTATGGCACCATCTTCCGAGTTTCATATCTAGAGCCCACTTTCTCTGGGATGTTCTCAGCAGCAATGCTAAGATGAGCCGTTCCTGGGAGGTCTGGTCTCCTCTGATGGGTTCCTTAGGCTTCAAGAATCCTCAGCTAGCCACAGTTTCCCAGAACGGGTGTGAGCTAATACTCTTGCCACCCTCCATCCCTCTCTCACATGAGTTAGGCTCAATAGCTGCTCCCAGCTCCCCAGTTCCTTTCCATACCCCCCAAGACCTGTCCTGTAGCAAATCTCTCTTTTGCGCAATGTTGGGGATCCAATCCAGGGCTGTCTGCATGCGAGGCAAGCACTTTCTTTACTACTGAACTAAATGCCTACCTTGAACCTCTCCCACTTGGCATCTGCTTCTGGACCAGCCCAGACTAACACATCAGAAGTGGTACGGAGTGGTAGAGACAAGCTGTTAAGACTCCCGTGTCACCTCCTCCCTGACCTAGAGTCCAGCTCAGGCCCCATCCAAAGAGTCCTTCATGGGGCAGAAAGGACCTGGAGCTATTCTTTGTTCCTCTAAGTTCCACAAGGTGTTTGGTGGTTGGTCTCAGTTCCTGGCTCATATTCACTGCCCAGTTACACATGTGGGAATACACACTGCTTTTACCACGTTTAATTACTTTTAATTATTCTCCGTATACATGTATGGTCACACTTGACCACGGCACGTGTGCAGGCCTGAAAACAACTTATAGGAATTGACTCTCTCTTTCAACCATGTAGACCCTGAAAATCGAACTCGGGTCGTCAGACTTGATGGCAGGTGCCAGGCATCTCACCAGCCCTCAACCCTGAACTTCTGATCCTCCTGCCTCCACCTCCCCAGTGCTAGGATGACAGATGTGCATCACCATGTCTGGCTTCATGCTGTGCTGGGGTTCAAACTCAGAACTTTGTGAACAGTAGGCAAACAATCTACCAACTGAGCTACAACCCCAGCCCTCTGTGTTTAATTATTTCCTGTGTCTGTTGACTTGTTTGTCATCTGTCTGCCCCACTAGGTTGCAGCTCCCTGGGGGAGAGCCCTTGTCTGTTTTGTCACCTCTCAGGGCTCAGCAGGGTTCCTGGCACAGGGGAAGTACTGAATGTGAACAAATTAATGAACAGACTAATTGTGAATAGCCCAGCCAGCTTCTCTTCTGTGGGCCCTGGTGTTCTTATAGAAAATGAGGGGGTGGACAGGAGCAGACAATTCTGGAATAGTAAGTACCAGTAGCTAATAATCACTTCAGAAAATGTTTGGTCTCATTAATCATCCAGTCAAAACAACAATTGGCTATCACCTTCTTGCTATCAAAACACCAATGATCTTTTTAAATGCTGTTAAAGGTTTCCAAACAATCCGAGGTTACATATCAGGAGACCTAAAAATATGCAGATGCCTTGGCCTTGTAATTCCAGTTCTAAGAATCTATCCTAAGGAAATAACCATGGTTGTGGAGGAAGATTTATGCATAGAGAGATCTTCCCCGAAGCATTATTTATAATAGCAGAAAATGGAAGCAATTTGAATAATAATAAATAATATGTGACCAGGCTATTAAAGCACCAGGCACTTTACACACATATTTCTTATCTTCTGTAAGCCTGTGAAGTAGGAATGTGAGCCTCCATTTCACAGGTGGCACCTGGAGGTTCTGGGACTTGCTAAGTGGATGAGTGGTAGATCTGGGATTTGAACCCAGGTCTGGCCATGTTTCTGAGCTTCACATTGCCTCTGACAAGAGGGTGCTAGTTAAATGTGTTATGACCATCCTGAAGAAGGAATTTAAAGAGGTAGGCATTATATCCCCAAATATCTGATATAATGATCAAGTAAATTTGTTAATCACATACAGGATCATGATTTGAAGGTTGGGGATATAACTCAATGCCTACCTAACATGCTTGAGGCATTGGGTCCAAAGATCAGTACCAAAACCATCACCACCACCACCACCAAACAACCACCTCACAACAAGAAGCAAAACATCAAACAAACAAATTCTCAGGCAAAAAACCACTCCACCCCCAAACCAAAGTCATGGTTTAAAGTATGAAAAAATAACATGGGGCTGGCTGGAGAAATGGCAAGAACACTGGTTGTTCTTGCAGAAGACCTGGGTTTGAATCCCAGCACCCACATGGCAGCTAACAACTGTCAGTAACTCCAGTAAGAGCAATGACTGCTCTTGCAGAGGACCCGAGTTCAATTCCCAGTACCCACATGGTAGCTAAGAACTGTCCTTAACTCCACTTACAGGGGAATCTGATGCTCTCTTCTAACCACCACAGCACTGCACGACATGAGTGCACTCACATACACGCAGGCAATACACATAAAATAAAAATAAAGGACTGGAGAGATGGCTCAGGGGTTAAGAACAGCGACTGTTTTGCAGAAAGACCCTGGTTCATATCCCAGCACCCACATAACAGCTAACGATTGTTAATAACTCCAGTCCCAGGGGATCTGACAGCCTCTTCTGATCTCCTCGGGCATTTCACGACATGGGTGCAGTTACCTACCTGCAGACAATACACACATACACATAAAATAAAAAATAATAACTAAATTTTTTTTAAAAAAGAAGTAATATAAGGGGCTGGGGAGATGGTTCAGTTGGTAAGGTGCTTGCTACACAAGCATGAGTTTGGATCCAGGTATGGTGGTATCCAACTGTAACCTCAGGGCTTAGGGCTGGAGACTGATAGATCCCTGGGGCTCAGTGACCAGTCAGCTAGGCAACTGGTGAGTTCAAGTTGGGGGGGGCACTATCTTAAAACATAAGGTAAATAGGGCTGGAGAGATGGCTTAGCAGTTAAGAGCACTTGCTGCTCTTGCAGAGGACCCAGGTTGGGTTCCCAGTGTTTACAATGGGCAGCTCACAACTGTCTCTAACTCTAGGGGATATGGTGTCTCTGCCTCTGTGAACACTTGCATTCCTGTGCACAAACCCCCACACAAACACAGACACATACACATAATTTAAAAAATCTTAAAAACAAAGTGGAGAGCAAGCCAGGTATGGTGGTGCACACCTTTAATCCCAGCACTTGGGAGGCAGTGACACATAGATCTCTGCGAGTTCAAGGCCAGCCTGGTCTATATAGTGAATTCCAGGCTGGCTGGGGCTACAGAGAGACCCTGTCTCAAAAAGACCAATAAATGAATGAATGAATGAATGAATGAATGAATAAATAATAAAGTGGAGAACAATTGAGGAATTGTTGATACTGGCCTATAGCCTCCACATGTACATTCACACACACGTGCACACACATAAAAAAAAGTGACATAAATACAGACAAAGATGAAGAATGAATAAATGACAGCAAAGTGGCTTTTGCACTTACCCATGAGCTGGGAAGTCATGGGTGACTCTGAGTTCTTTTACTGTCTAGTATTCTCTAACTTTCCCAAATGGAACATCTGTCCCATTTATTAACAGATACAACACAATGAACATTGCAAATGGAGAGCAAAGGAAGAGTATAAGGCATGAATGTGCAACATTTTCTGACCATTATGGTTCTATAAATATCTCTCCTTGATCCCCAAGTCCTAGAAGGGGACATGGTGACACATGTGTATGACCCAACTTGGAGGGTGTCCCTGGCCCTCTTTAGTTCTCTCTCTTTCTCTCTCTCTCTCTCTCTCTCTCTCTCTCTCTCTCTCTTTAAAAAAGAAAATTAATAGAGGTCTTCCTGCCTTTCTAGGTTCCAATTTTCCAGGGCCTCCTTTGGGGTTCAGTCTTAGGGTTACAGGGACCAGCTCAGTTTTGGTCATGAACACTGACATCTTTGACTTGGTTAGACCCAGCAGGCAGCTGCAGCCTTCTACTCTCTTCCTGGTGATGCTAAGAAATCTCTGCTCTCCAGATAAAATATTCTCCTTCCACCTCTGTTTCCTCAGTGTCCTTGCTGGATTCATTATCATAGGCCTTG